GAGGAGACGCATCCCGAAGGAAGCGGAGCGAAGGGCGTCTCGGGCTGGCAGTTGTCAGCGGCGCCCCAGCTTGGCCTCATCAACCTCGGTGTCTCCTGGGGGATCGCGGGGAAAGTTCGAAAGTGGCGAGTCGTTTCGACGGGGCCTCACACTTAGCTGCGCCGTCGGGGCTGAGGACACGAAAGGGCGGTGTGTGTGGGGGGGGGGGGGGGGCGGTTCTCTCTTACGTACGCTCGGTTTCTTTATTCTTTCTTTTTTTCGTAGGTTGGGTTTGTCTTTGTGTGTGTGTGTGTTTTATATATCTTTGTTTTCTTTCTCTATTTGTTTCTCTCTTCTCTCTTTCTCCGCCTCTCTCTCTCTCTCTCAGCTCGTCGTTCCCTCTCGTCTTCTCTCTCTCTCCCACCTCCCAAATCTCAGCCTTCACTCTCTCTCTCTCTCGTTCTCCTTCTCTTCTCTCCTCTCCTCCCGCTCTTCTCTCTCTCCTTTCTCTCCGTCTCTCGTCTCTCTCTCCCCGCCTCCTCGATCTCCTCAAATCTCTCCTCTCTCTCGCCTCTCTCCCTCTCCTCCGTCCTCTCTCGTCTCTCTCTCTCTTATTTTCTTTCTCTGTATATATATATATATATATATATATATATATATATATATATATATATATATATATATATATATATATATATATATTTGCACACCTTCTCTCTGTTCTTTCTCTCCATCCACATCTCATTCTTCCTCTCCCGCTTCTCTCTTTTATTTTATTTTTTCCTCTTTTTCTTCTCTCCATCCTCTCATTAGCTTCAAGATCGACATACGTGTATATCTTTTATTTATTTTTTACTCGATTTCTTCTGCCCTCTGTCTCGTATTTCCCGTTTGCAACATAACGCTTCAGGGTTACGAGTTGTTACTGATGTTGGCCTGGATAGCGACATTTTGCTTGGAAAATCTGGAAGAATTTTCTCTCTGTCTGATTGTCTCTCTCTCTTTCTCTCTCTCTCTCTCTCTCTCTCTCTCTCTCATCTCCGTCTACTCTCCGTCTCGTCTCTCTCTCTCTCTCTGTCTCTTCTCTCTCTCTCTCTCTTTCTCTCTCTCTTTACTCTCTCTGTCTCTCTCTCTCTCTCTCTCTCTCATCTCTCTCTCTCCTCTCTCTCTCGTCTCTCTCTCTCTCCCTCTCTTCTCTCTCTCTCTCTCTCTGTCTATATATATATATATATATATATATATATATATATATATATATATATATATATATATATATATATATATATATATAATTCTCTAATATTCATAATTATACTTTCCTATTTATATTTTTTTGACTTCATTAGATATCTATGTTTCTCTAATTTTTCCTATGTTCTATTAATAATTATCCTGATTTACGCTCTTTTGCATTTTCTTTACTGATAATTTGCTTGCTTTCACCTCGACCCAAGAGAGGGCCGTGGCGGAGATGAGAGGTGGGTGTTGCTTCGTCATGGAACAGTTAGCATTGTACTTAAAGCGATATTTTTCAGCTACTTATTTGCATTGCTAAGTACTTGGTAAACACTTGAGGTCGAAAAAGTAGCTATGTGTTTTATCCTTGAAGCTATAACGTATCTTGAATTGATTTATTTATGTATTTATTTATTTATTTATTTTTTTATTATTATTGTTTGTATTCGTACTGGGTGGGTAGGGGGGGGGGGTACTGTAGAATTGTGGAGCGTTTATTGGTCGTTGTATTTTCATATGTGTATTTGTGGATTTTGAGTTACTTTTAATTTTCATTAACTTTTTAAAATGTATTTTTATCTCCATGGTATGTGGAATTTAAATTTATTGTATTATGTATAATGTATTTTCAGTATTATGAGATATGCTTTACCCATCTCCATATTCATGTGCTTAATTTACCATTTAGCATTTTGTTACTGTACTGCTATATTTTATGTATTTTTTTTCTCTCTCTTTAGATCCAGCTGCATATATATACATACATTACATTTTCGTCGGGAATAAAATCATTCGTTCCACATATATTATCATTTCTCTCTCTCTCTCCTACCTTCTTTCCTTAATTCTCTCTCTGATTCCCCTCTCTCGCCAATTCCCTCCTTTCATCACACTTTCTTTGTTCTAATGTATGGTCTGTTGGCCTCATGATATCGCGTTATTTTACCACACTCCGCCCCTTTCCGAACCATTACCTGCTCCGCTGACCCATTAGCTTTTCCTTGCGTGCAACCTTTGATCTTGCGTTGTAGGGGGCGACTAACGCACAGATTATGGAGCACTTTCCTCTCCGAGCAGCTCTTGCAACGGCTGCAACATGGTCAAGTGAGCGTCGGTTCTCCCTGTTTAGCGATGCAAACAAAATTTGCATATTTTGAATATACATCTCACGGTTCTTGCTTGATGCATTTCCAGCTTTCGAATTACTGTTTTCAGCTGCCCTCTGGTACGCACATACTCCGGTGGATTTGTGCATGTGAACTAAGTGATGTGTGAATGCCGTGGATGTACGTGTGTGTGTGTGTGTGTGTGTGTGTGAGTGTGTGTGCGTGTGTGTGAATGCCGTGGATGTACGCGTGTGTGTGTGTGTGTGTGTGTATGTGTGTGAATGCCGTGCATGTACGTGTGTATGTGAGTGTGTGTGTGTGTGTCTGTGTGGTTGTGGATGGATGGGTATTCTGATGTGTGTGTGCGTGTATGTGTGTAGGTGTGCGTG